GTTGATATACAGTAGATATCAATTGGATAGCTGCTGTATTTTATTCTGTGGCACAGTTCTGTAAATTCCCCCTACCTATCATCCAGATATCTTTTTTTTTTTTCAAGCAGCCATTCCCTGTCATGTAAAAGCCATCCTACAGGCTGATTAGCCACTGGATTGCTTTTATAGGCAGTAGGAGGCAGGGGCGGACTGACCATTTGGAAACTCGGGCACTGCCTGAGGGCTCTGGGTCAGTAGGGGGCCCCATGAGATGCCCCTGGTACCTTTTTCATAGGCTTTTTTGAGTTTGGGCAAGGACACAGGGGCCTCATGATCCCCTATAGTCCGGGGGCCCCATGAGTTGTCAGTCCGCCCCTGGTACGAGGGGGACCCCCCCCTCCTGATCTGGTGTTGGCGCCTGATTACCATAGAGCTGGCCATGGACCACATGATGCCTAGGCATCTCTATAATCCTGGGAGGCCAGAAACACCATTACTTCCGGCTCTGGCAGATGTAAACACTGCCATTTTCTTTCCTTTTGCTGAAAAGCCTGAGATCAATTTTTTTTTTATCTCATGCTTTGAGGCATAGGTGAGAGACAGTCTTATAGACCCCAGATCTCAGCATAAAGAGGACCTGTAATGCATTATTCCTATTACAAGAGATGCTTGCATTACCTTCCTCCCAGCACCGCTCTTTTAGAGAACACAGAACTAGGTATCAATTTGTATGGAAGCAGTAAAATATATCCTGCAGCCAGAAAAAATAGAACCTCCCCAGCAACAATAGACCCCCTGCAACAGCAACAGATTTCCTTACAACCAGCATCAATAGACCCCCCCCCCCAGCAGCTAGCAATGATAGTCCCCCTCCCTCAACAGTATATCCCCCTTGGCAAAAACTGACCACACAGCAACATTAGACCCACCCCCAGCAACAATAGATTCTCCACCACCAACAGTAGACCTCACCAGCATCAATAGACACCACCCTCTCAAAAAAAAAATCACCTCCAGAGACAATAGATCCCCCAGAAGCCAGCATGAATGGACCCTGCAGTACGCCCCATGACCCCTTGCCATTACATACATTTAGTTGTTGAGGTGCCACAACTGCGTTCCCCCACATTCCCGCTGAACAAAAGTCCTGCATATTTCACTGAAAGGAGGACTGTCCACAGGGGCGAACTGACCATTTGGGCAATCGGGCACTGCCCGAGGGCCCAGGGTCAGTAGGGGGCCCCATGGGATGCCCTTAGTTCCTTTAATAGGCTTTTTTGGGTGTGGTTTGAGTGTGGGTGAGGCCCCATGATCCCCTATTGCCCGGGGGCCCCATGAGTTGTCAGTCCGCCCCTGACTGCCCATACCGTATGTGACAGAGGGTAGGCAGGACAGAACACACGGAGCAGATGGAAAACACACAAAGCTTTATTGAGACAAAATGACAGTCACTCAATGGGGGAATTGCAGGGAGGGTGACCTCCCCAATAGGGGAACAGCAAGGAGAGGGTCAAAACACTTGTAGTCCAGCCCCACGGGGCAAAGGTAAAGTCTCTGCAGCAGATTGTAATTCAACAGGGGGGGTAGGGGGGCAGCTCGGGAACAGTTCAGGCAAAACAGGGGAAAGCATACACTCACGGATCTGACAGGGTGCCCGGTCTCCCAGGGGTAAGATAGTATCCGGACCAGATAGCTGTGTCCTCACTATTAAAATGTCTTTAGTTGACCCCAGTGTAAGCATGGTGTATCAGCAGAATCCTAGTACGTTAGTTAGGCCATTCAAGCCCTCGGAATTGAGTTGTACTGGGAGACCTTTTGGGGACAAGTACATCTGAATCCAGGCACACTTTAACCTTTAAAGTGTTGCTAAGCCCAGGATTCACCATATCTGTTCTCTTAAATGGAAATGCAATTATTTTAGTAAATATAAACTGCTAAATACCTTTTCTCATCAGCAGTATATAGCAGTCTTGTGACTTCTATCAGTGTCCAGCTGAGCACTGATTAAAGCTTGTAGGAGGAGTTTTCATTCTCCTCTGACTGTCCTATAAGGGTGCAGGACCCCTGACCCTCTGCCTGGACACTGCTGACTGGTCCTGTGCTGATCACATGCACTTTCTCTAGCAATAGACCGGAAACAGAGCATGTGCAGACTTGTCACTGCTGCTCTAACTATGGCAGATGGATTGGGGACAGCAAAAGAAGGAGAGGATCAGACAAGATGGGATCAGCCTTTTTACACAAAGCAGAGGATTAACCCCTTAGCTCCACAGTGACAAGCATGCTTTATTGCATTTACAGACTGAGTTTACTGTTGTGGGTTTAGTAACACTTTACAGTTGGGGCACACTCTCTCACCCTAAGGATGGTGGCCAGTCTGAAGTGGAAGCAAGTGATGGTGGGGGGTGACAGTTAACCTTGATGGGTGGGTAGACAGGTGCACTTAGTTTCCATCACCTTGCAGTTGGATGCCCATCCAGGGACCTGCTGTGGCCCATGGTAAACCTAGGGATCTGGCTGGGTAGTTACAGGAGCAAGGTCTTGCTCAAGTACAAAGCAATGGCTTCTTGTAAATATGTGTTAAGTAGCTAAATTCAGGTCCTAAGCAGCAATGGAGTTTATGTACCAAATGTCCAGTATGGGACATGAGAGATTGGTGGGACATGCGGCAAGCTACGCGTTCCAATCCTGTAACAGTCAATCACTGGGGGAGAGAGGAAGAGGGGATAACAGTGTCTATTGGTCCCAAGTTGGAATAAGGTTAAGGTCCTGGGTAATTAAGTGTTAAGAGTTAACTGAATGGCTGGTGGTTTCCAGGGGCTGACCATTCGAGCTCTCGAGGGCCGAGGGCCTGGGGTCAGTAGAGGGCCCCATGAAATGCCCCTGGTACCTTTTATAGGCTTTTTTGGGTGTGCTTTGAGTGTGGGCAAGAACACAGGGGCCCTGTGATCCCTGATTGCCCAGGTGCCGCTTGAGTTGTCTGTCCGCTCCTGGTGGTTTCTAACCTGCCCTCTGGGGGGGGGGCAAATGCCCTGACCCCGAGGCCCCGTGCACACACTGTCAATCAAAAGTGGAGCAGACCTGATGGGGAACTAGTCTCAGTTACCCATCAGGCTCTGCCCATCCCTAGTATAAAACCGGCCAAGTGCCTATCAGTGTCACAGGCACAGTGGCAGAGGATGGGAATGAGTACCCTGGGGAAGGAGTGTCCAATGCACCATGCAAAAGATGGGTCCCCAATCATTACACACCAGCACCAATTTGACCACCTTCAAAGACCCCAAACTATCCCAGCACTGTGGACTCCTTCTCCAGTGCAGACATGGGCAAATTCATGTACCTGTCTGTGAGAGATATATGAATTGGGTGCAAGAACCAACACTTTTAGTGCTTCGTCCAGACAGAATTCTCAAAGGGTGTCTAGGACACCCTTTATAAATTCCCCCATCCCTCTCTTATGATACACTTTGTTTTAGGAAGCTAAATATTATTGGTTATGGAGTGCATACGGTCACCATACTTCCATACTTTTCTCTTTTCACTTAAAAAAAATGTAACTTGTTCCCATTGCTGTCGAGGAATTTGCTATAAACCGGAGGGTTCGACATGGAATATTTTGCCAGTGATTTAAGCCGGTCTTCCACCACATTAAAGAGACAAACAATTATTCTTTGTCAAATAAATAACAATTCCCAACAAGGGTCAGAGAGCCATCACTCACCACGCAGAGAACATCCAGAGAAAATGGCTTTTCAGCTGAGGGGACAATTTATCACATCTGATAATAATTTCACTCTTTTCTGGTGTTTTATGATGGCTTTTGACGCACATCAAACCACCAGCGGCAAGCAAAGAGGCCTGATAACATGAATTAACAGAAAACAATTTAAACGCAACATATCCGATCCATTGTTTTTTGACATAACTAATCAAAGACATTAAAACCACTTTGGTTTTTCATCGCGATTGTTCAAAAGTAATAAAAGAGACAGACCCAGAGAAAAAAAAAAATAAAAATTAATGAAGGGCGTACATGACTAGGTGAAGAGAGGAGTCGGGGATTTGAAGGAATAAGGTTTTGAATCATTGTATGAGTGATCACGTACCTTGTTGGTTGAGGTACAAGTTCAGAAGGGGTTTTGGGGTTGGTCTGAAGAGCAGGAGAGTGTTAAGATCAGTTGGTGTTTGTCAGATGGAGAGGGAACTTCTTTCCCACCCATCCTGGATTTGGCATTAGCTTGCAGTCTTGGAAGTCACAGCAGACAGGAGGTTTGGGATCTTTGAAAGCAGTATGGCATCTTCAGTTCCATTACAATCAATGGATAGTTGACTGTCCCTGAGGTAGTGTGTTTTGGCCGGGAGCCTAATATACTTAAGTGGTTCCACAGATACAGAAGTAGGATATGTTCTTAGTGCCTTCAAAGACCTGCAACCTTTAACTTGCTTTTATTTTAAAGTAATGCTTTTATGCGTAGCACCCTCCTAGGAAAGCTAGCGGGATTTAGTTAATTATTTTTTAGTTAAAGGCTGAATAGCAGTCTGATGTACTAGCCAAAGCCAGGCTCTGCAGATCAGATCCCTAAAACCTTCCCCTGATCTAGAGACTTAGAGAAGTCTCTAGAATTCAGTGTGCGGGGGAGAGAAAGAGCTGGTCTACACTCTCAGGGGATCCTGGCCAATCCCCAAGCAAGAGACTTGGCATGGGGTCAGTCCTTAAGAGTGGTTGAGCCTGCTTAGCAGCAGGATAGTTTGGGTGGAAGATTAAGTGAGCAGGATGATGTGTGGAGGGGTTACAGGAGAGGGGCCAACCTACAGGTAGAGGAGTTGGAACGGAATATCTCTCAGCCTCATCATCCCCTAAGAGAGGACAACCTGGAAAGCAGGGAAGGAGCCATCCCAGTGTTAAACCTGAAGGCAGAAACTATCCCACAAGCTTACAGGAGTGAGTAATCCCACACCCCCTGGGCCAGACAAGGGGAAAGAGCATTTGGTTGGGAACAGGGGCGGACTGACAACTCATGGGGCCCCCGGGCAATAGGGGATCATGGGGCCCCTGTGTCCTTGCCCAAACTCAAAAAAGCCTATGAAAAAGGTACCAGGTGCATCTCATGGGGCCCCCTACTGACCCCGGGCCCTCGGGCAGTGCCCGAGTTTCCAAATGGTCAGTCCGCCTCTGGTTGGGAACCCTACTTAGCCCCCATCTGGGACTGCTGATCATAGGGAGGCAGATTCTGGGTCCTCTTCCCTAGAGATTCCCTCAGGCAGCTGGGTGAAGTGGAGATTTCATCTGGGGTCTGAGGTGGTACAACAAGGAAGGCTCGTTAGCTCTCCAAGAAAAGAAGAAAACCCCTTCTGAGCACATGAGTACATAGTTCCAGGAAATTATCCTTAGCTCAACAGTTCCTTGGGCATCCCATGTATCCCTCATCCCCATCCAAGTTCAAATCCCCTAATAAAATTAAAAAAAACAAGGACTGTTTACTGTCTCTGGAGAGCAAGACTGGAAGGAAATGCATGTTGCCTGGCTGTGCAGGACTATAGGGGAACCCAAAACTCTAGCAACTCCTATGTGCTACATTTGTGTTTTTATTATATGCTTACAAAAAGCAGCTATGGCTATTTCACTTCATTTAAGATGTGATCTTTTTTTTTTTGCGTAATGTAAGCAGGTGACTAGGATGGCCTAGCAGTCTAATGGGAGATGGCTTGGACATCTCTTCTACCTTAGTCATGTAGTAAAAGTGTAACTCCAATTAATTTTTGGTCTTTTTTTTTAATTTTGAGCCGGGGAGGAACATTAGAAAATATATCTATGTTGCTGTTGGGCTGTAATGTTCTAACCACCCCCCAGCTGTCTCCAGCTAGTTTAAAGTAATGTCCCTGTCTTCTTGATCTTAGCTTCATACTTAAAATACTGCCCCCCTGAACCTTATTAACACCCTTCATGTATTTAAAGGTTTCAGTCATGTCTTCTCTTTCCCTGCTTTCCTCAAGCCTGTACATATTAGGTTCCTGTAGTCTTTTTCTGACCATTTTTGTTGACTGTTTTTAGACTTGCACTATATTGTCAATATTTTTAGTAAGTGAAGTCACCAGAAAGGAACACAGTATTCTACATGTGGTCTAACTAAAGATCTATATAGAAGGACCTGGACCTCCTTTTGGGCAGGGCTTAGGACATCTTTTCTCAAGACTACATATTAGGTTCCTGCAGCCTTTTTCTGACCATTTATGTTGACTGTTTCTGGACTTGCTCTATCTTGCCAATATTTTTTGTAAGTGAGGTCACCAGAAAGGAACACAGTATTCTAAGTGAGGTCTAACTAAAGATCTATATAGAAGGACCTGGACCTCCTTTTGGACAGGGTTTAGGACATCTTTCCTCAAGACTGTACATATTAGGTTCCTGCAGCCTTTTTCTGACCATTTTTGTTGACTGTTTCTAGATTTGCTCTATCTTGTCAATATTTTTAGTAAGTGACGTCACCAGAAAGGAACACAGTATTCTACATGAGGTCTAACTAAAGATCTATATAGAAGGACCCGGACTTCCTTTTGGGCAGGGCTTAGGACAATGCACTCGCTAACGTCTATACTTCGGCAGGGAGCTGCGGTAATGTGAAATCAATGTTAGCGAGCAACACCTGCACACTTAACTCTCTGTAACACGTGGCCAAACTTGTTACACTGTTAACACTAAACACTTTTAAACAGAACTACTTGTTAAGAGAACCCAACTTCCCAGGTGTGTAGCATTTAGGGACCAGCACCGCAGATCCTGTAACTGTCTCCACCAACATAGCAATTCCTGTCACTTCACTCCCAGTGAAATATCTGACTGTTGCTACTGGATACAGGAAACGCACTTTACTTCAACTACATGCTTGTTCTCCTCCAGGGGCCCCTGTACATCTCACTTCCATGACTCTCAAGCAAAGTCTCTAGGCACTTTGTGCTGCAAGGTCTGTTCTAATATGTGGGGAACTGGTAGCTAGTGAAGGGGCCAAGCACAACTCCCCTTCACTACCAGAGTGTCAGTCACCTTTGCCTGAAACCCAGTTCCTGGCTGGATGGCTGTCATTAGCAAATGATACAAATATGGTTGTTCCTAGTAATGGCAATATAGCCTACACTAGACAGTAATTTACATGTTGGATTCTATGTACTGTATCTTCTCCAACTCTCTAGTACCCAGTTGTAAGCCCTGTTCTTTTCATTCACCATGCATGTACCCCTTGAGACACTACAGACCAGACTTTTAAAGGAATGGCAACAGTCTTTACTGAAGTAATGCAAAGGCATACAGTAATAGTTCTTCCAAAACAACTTGACAAACATTCCTGTCCAGAGTTCTCCAGTGCCCATGAGGTAGGCATGCATGATTTAGCAGCAAGGTCCTTAAAACAGCCTTTTAAAGGCAAGAGTCCATTTAGGCAATACATTCATAGAGGTAGCAAGTATTCCCTAAAGTCCCAGATTGGGCAGTAATCCATAAAAAGACAATAAGTCCATGACTGGTAGCTAAGAGTCCATAGGAATCCTCAGATGCTCAACCCCATAGGGAACCCCAACTAGGCGCCCAGATGAGGGCACAGACCAGCAGAGTAACAGCCTACATTTTAGCAGTTCTTCAGCAGAGAGCTCCTGGAGCACAGAAGAGCTGCCATTTTTTTGGTATAAACTGCAGGGGGAGATGAATAGCTGAGAAAAGCAGGAAAACCTAACTAGCAGTGTTAACCCCTTCCTCTCAGATCCACCAACCTAGCAGCAGAAAACGTTTAACTCTTTGAAAGCACCTGCTTACACTCTTCCTCTATAGGTGACCCCTCTAGTGATAACTAAAGATATACAGTATATAGAGAAATCAGGACCTCCTTCCTCCTACACTTGATCCATCTAGTAGTAACTAAAGATCTATACAGAGGAATTAGGTCCTCCTTCGTCCAAATGGCAATCCTTCTCATGATAGCTAAAGATATATATAGAAGAATCAGAACCTCCTTCCTCCTGATGGTGACCCCTCTAGTGATAAATAAAGTTCTCTATATGGGTATTAGAACTTTCTCCCTCCTGTTGGTGATCCCTCTAGTGATAACCAAAGATCTATATAGAGGAACCAGAACCTCCTTCCTTCTGCTGGTGATCCCTCTTTGGATAACTAAAGATTTATGTAGTGAAACCAGAGCCTCCTTCCCCCCACTGGCAATCCCTCTAGTGATAGCTAAGGATCCCTCTAGAGATAATTAAAGATCTATATAGAGCAATCAGAACCTCCTTCCTCCTGCTGGTGATCCCTCCGGTGATAAATAAAGTTCTCCACAGGAGTATCAGAACTCTCTCCCTCCTGCTGGTGATCCCCCTAGTGATATAAAGGTCTATATCGAGGAACCAGAACTTTATAATTTTTATAAACAATATAGGTTTAGCGATTAAAAATTTAATTTCAGTCTTTGCAGATGACACCAAGCTGTGCCGTGGAATAACGTCCTTACAGGATGTCTTCAATTTCCAAGCCAACCTCAATGCTCTGTGTAATTGGGCAACTATGTGGCAAATGAGGTTTAATGTTGATAAATGTAAGGATCTGCACTTGGGGGCTAAGAATATGCATGCATCATACATACTAGGGGGGGTACAACTGGGGGGGGTCAATGGTGGAGAAGGATCTGGGGGGTTCTGGTAGATCACAATCTTAATAATGGTTCTAAAGCGAGCAAAAGCCTCTCTTGTATTAGGAAATGGTATAGAATCCAGAGAGAGAGAGATATCAATTCCCCCGGGTACAAATCATTAGTAAGACCTCATCTGGAATATGCAGTTCAGTTTTGGCACCAATTCACAAAAAGAACATTGGGGAACTGGAGAAAGTACAGAGAAGGGCAACTCCTATTCTCTCTTGAGAAGAGGAGATTAAGGGGGGATATGATCACCATGTACAATACATAAGGGGGGATATGATCACCATGTATAATACATAAGGGGGGATATGATCTCCATGTATAATACATAAGGGGGGGGATATGAACTCCATGTATAATACATAAGGGGGGATATATGATCTCCATGGATAATACATAAAGGGGGGGATATGATCTCCATGTATAATACATAAGGGGGGATATGATCTCCATGTATAATACATAAGGGGGGGATATGATCTCCATGTATAAATACATAAGGGGGGATATGATCTCTATGTATAATACATAAGGGGGGGATATGATCTCCATGTATAATACATAAGGGGGGGATATGATCACCATGTATAATAAATAAGGGGGGGGATATGATCTCCATGTATGTATAATACATAAGCGGGAATATGATCTCCATGTATAATACATAAGGGGGGATATGATCTCCATGTATAATACATAAGGAGGGATATGATCTCCATGTATAATACATAAGGGGGGATATGATCTCCATGTATAATACATAAGGAGGGATATGATCTCCATGTATAATACATAAGGGGGATATGATCTCCATGTATAATACATAAGCGGGAATATGATCTCCATGTATAATACATAAGGGGGGATATGATCGCCATGTATAATACATAAGGGGGATATGATCTCCATGTATAATACATAAGGGGGGGATATGATCTCCATGTATAATACATAAGGGGGGATATGATCTCCATGTATAATACATAAGGGGGGGATATGATCTCCATGTGTAATACATAAGGGGGGGATATGATCACCATGTATAATACATAAGGGGGGGGGATATGATCTCCATGTATAATACATAAGGGGGATATGATCTCCATGTATAATACATAAGGGGGATATGATCTCCATGTATAATACATAAGGGGGGATATGATCACCATGTATAATACATAAGGGGGGATATGATCTCCATGTATAATACATAAGGGGGATATGATCTCCATGTATAATACATAAGGGGGATATGATCTCCATGTATAATACATAAGGGGGGATATGATCTCCATGTATAATACATAAGGGGGGATATGATCTCCATGTATAATACATAAGGGGGGATATGATCTCCATGTATAATACATAAGGGGGGGTATGATCACCATGTATAATACATAAGGGGGGATAT